CACTTCATAGTTATTCCACCTTTCTATCTTGTTATAGAAAGACACTGCTCCCCCCCACCCAACCCCCACCCCTGGTCTCTGGGCTTGTCACTGCCTAGGTGTCTCCTGGAGAAGTGTCACCCATCAATCAAAGGAAAATCTCCAAGTGAAAGTGATTGTAGGGGAAAGGAGAGAAAATAATGGGAAATATCAGAGAGGGTGAAAGAACATGAGAGACTCCTAACTCTGGGAAACGAACAAGGGGTAGTGGAAGGGGAGGTGGGCGGGGGCTTGGGGTGACTGGGTGACAGACACTGAGGGGGGCACTTGGCAGGATGAGCACTGGGTCTTATGCTATATGTTGGCAAATCTAAGTCCAATAAAAAAAATATATACAAAAAAAAAAAAGGAAAATCTCCAGAGATGGGCTCAGGTGTGAGCTGCTAGCTGCAACACTTTTAGAGCTCGAGGCTGGTTACAGTAAATAAAGGGGCCCTGGTGGGACACCCACAGCATCTCTTATAGCAGATGAGACTTACATGGTAGAGATTATGTGTCCACACCCATAGCAAGTGCTTTACATGCATGAACAAACTTAAGCTTTAAGTCACCCTGTATTGTGGTTATTAGTATTCAGGTTTATTTCTGTTTTACAGGGAGGGGGCTAAGGCATAGGGATTAAATGTAACTTGCCTGAGGTTCCTCATTAAGTGAAGGATGGAGCCAGGATTCAGACCAAGGAAGGCTGGTTCTAGATTCCATGCCCTTATGTGCTACCTCAGTGTATTGAGTCTTAATATGCACCAGGCCCTGATTTAGGCACTGGAGATCCAGCAGGGAAACCTGTACAAGAGTCCCTACCCTCACTGAGGGACTCTGCTCAAGAGTCCCTTACTTTCCAGTGAGGAAAGATGGACTATAAGTGAATAAATGAAATACATGACTCAGATGGAAATAAGTGCTCAAGAGGAAAGTAAATAAGGGAAGGGCATGCTAGGTGGCAGCCGGAGCTTCGAATAGGGTGGCCCAAGGGAGACTTCATGTAGAAGGCATTTTAGCAAAAATCCAAAGGAGGTGGTTTCTCTGCTTCCACTCCGACCACTCCCTCTGGCTGACCCTGATTGACTCTCCCTCTGCACAGCTGCAGGGCAGTCCTGAATCACCTGTTCACGTTTCCTGTATGATCCCCTTCAGTGGTTCCTCATTGCCCTTAGGATAAATCCGGTGCTCCTGCCGTGGTATGAGAGCATCCTGATTTGAGGTCTGCTTCCATTCCTGCCTCTTCCTGGAAGGCTTGCTTCTACATCGTGATGCCCAAGGGAAACCCGCATACCCTATGTGTACATTTTGAAAATTAACAGAGCAAGTGAACAAACTATTAAATAAAGCATCTACCCTCTACTTCGACAAGTACATCTTCATGGTGACTTAGAAGACCAACCTCACATTTAGATTTGTTGGGCTGCTCTGAATTCTCTGCTAGAGCTTGACGATCCAGGGAGACTGGGCCCTCGCCCATGGTCGCCTCCCTTCTCTGCCCACTGCCCAGCTCTGTCTTCCTGTGAGCGTGGGGACACCCCAGCTCGCGTATCCATGTTCTAGCCATATCCCTGTGCTCATACTTGTGGTGTTACTTGTCATTGGGGGATTGGATCTGGGAAAGAGGTACATGTGGGCCCAGGAAGTAGGCTAAGGGCTCTTTGGGCATAGAGTTTTAGGTTTTTAGGTAGTAGGAGCTTAGTCTAGAAGGAGAGTGGGAGCAACACAGACTCCATGTGGCAAGTTGCTTTGTTCCCTGGGCGGAGGGTGTGGAAAAGGAGGTCAGAACCAGACAGGGCTCTCTAAAGCACATTGAGTGGTACCCTCTCATCACTGTCTCCTTACCCATGTGCCAAAACCAAAGTGAATTACTAGAACTTTTCAATATGCCATACTCTCTTGCTTCTGTGATTTCGTGATTTTGCACAGACTGCAGAATGGAGGGCATACACTTGGAATCCTTGTCCTAATTGTTCTCAACTCCTGTGAGCATCCTAACCTAATCCCCCATCACGGACCCTTAACTCCCACCCCCAATCACAATATGGTATGGTATGATATATATAGTGACCTGAGCGTGGGCTTTGAAGTCTTGGTTTTGACTCTCTGTTTAGCCACTTAGTAGTCATGTGCTTTAGGCAAATTCTGTGCCTCTGTTTTTGTTATTTCTTGCATGGAGATAACCATACCAAGTTTATAAGTTGTTGTGTGGATAAAATGAAATAATGGTTGTCAAGTGCCCAGCCACAGGCCCTGGCATAGAATAAGCTTTGGTAAAAAGTTCTTTCCCTCCCCCAGCCATGCTCCTTACTTGAAACCAAACATACAGAGCACCTGGGGAGTTTAGGCTGTTTTCATAGTAAGATGGCAATTAGATTAGCTCTCAGCGCTCAGCCCCTGGGCGTCTGTCCCCATCTCCCGAGCTAGGGAGAATTTCCTAGAGAATATTAATGCCTGATTTCTACTTTTGGTTTTCAGGGATTATTAGTTAATAGTGTGTAGGCTGCTACCGATCGCCACATTTAGATACTGGGATAGTCACACTCCAGCTCTTGGTGGCAACACTATTTGTGGTTAGGGATGGAGATTTCTCCTGTCAGCATAATTACAGTACCACCAGTGGGGCCTGAGGAGCAGGTAAACAAGGAAAACAAGCTGGTCATCTTGCAGGAAAGACAAGATCCAAGGTTACTTTGCAGTGCCTGACGTAGAGGGCATGCGACAAATCTGAGTCAAGCCAAGTAAAGTTAAGAACAATGAGAGAAGCCAGTAAACTCCAATAGAAAAATGGATAAAAGTCACAGAGAAATACTTATGGGCCAATAAGCTATAGCTAGTAATCAAAGAAATGCAAATTTAAATGTAATGCAATATTTTTCTTAGAAAATGGGCAGGGATTTTTAAAATTCAGTGGCCAGTGCTGATGAGGCTACAATGGGGGGAGGGGGGACAACTGTGACACATGGCTAGTGGATATGGAAGTTGGTATGCCTTTCTGTAAGGAAATTATGAGAACGATTATGTTATGGTATAGGTTTAAGATGGACTCTGTGTCATTAAATGCAATAGTTTTGAAGGCATTTTAGGTATGAGGAAAAAATTCTATGTTGCAGTAAAAAATAGAACACTATGCGGCATGAAAATTACATGCACAAAAAAGACTGGAAAGAAACAGACAAGAGTATTATAACTCCTTACCATTAGCAGCTCTCATGTAGATCTTTGAATATTTTAACTTTTCTATAATTAGCAGGTGTTTTTCTTAAAATGGGAAGGGAATTCCATAAATTAAGAAAAAGTCATATTGCTTTCAGATGATAGGGCAGAGAAAATTATTTATGGAAGACTCTGGCCGTTTGTCCATTCAGTAAGAGTCAAAGAAGAAGAGGCAACTCCTTTCCTTTGGAATGCAGGATCGGAGGAGCAACAAAAGACTCGGGCTTCCTCTCATGTTGAGTGTAGTCTTTTGTTATCAACAATAAGAAAGGGAAAGAGGCTCCTTGCCTGGGGAGTTTTCTGTCTAACTGGAAGGCCCAAGGACTGACTGCCTTATGCTTGAGACAGTCGTACAATCACAGGAGCTGTGGTCTCTTCAAGAGTCTGTGACATTCTCATCACTGGTTGAGATTTGGGAACGAAGCCTAAAAAGGGGCTTTGTTTCCTTTTGCGGCCCAAATCCTCCAAATGTGGCCTTACCTCCAGTAGCTAGAAGTGATTGATATGTGGTGGTACGCATCTGTGGGTCATGCAACATGCACAGTGGTTTAAGCAAGTGCTATGTGGAAATTAAAACATCTGAAGGTAATACTACACCATATTTATATAAAAATGTGAATTAACCAAAATCTATTTTGAGTCATAAAATAGATACATGGGCTAAATAAACCAAGAAGGATCGAAGGAAAGACCCCTAACTACCAAAACAGAGAATTTCTTCCAGATTGACATAACTATTTTGACCTTCATTTTTTCCCCCTTTCATTTCTTAGGAGTTACAGGTAAAATCCAAATTGACATTTATAACCATTTTGACCTTCGTGGTTTTTTTTTTCTTTCATTTCTTAGGAGTTACAGCTTAAATAAATTTTGCTACTTAAGAAGTTGTATGGCAACATCTTGATTCACTTAGCCTAATTACTTTTCAGGTTTTCAAGATGGTCACTGTCACTTCATCTGGCCTTGATTTCAAGAGTAGTTTTTCCTCTCTTAGCTTCCTGAAACACGCCTTTTTACACCCTGACTGGTGTAATGGAAGTACATGAGAAAACTGGATGACATCCACGTCCCAACCAGTCTCACCCTTGGCCATCTAAGAGCAAACAGCATGACTCAGCAACCTGATTTTTTTAAAAAACTGACGTATATCTTGAACTACAAGTTACACATTTTAAATACAGTGGTGGCAAATACAGGTTAATGCTTCATGCACCATCACTAATCAATTGATAGAAGCAGCCCAGAGCCCTTTATAGAAAAAGATTTTTTGGACCAGTTTGGGTTCAGTGGTAAAGCATACCAGTGTCTGCCATTGATGTGGGCACAGGGATGGACAGAACTCATACCAAGGACTTTCCATCTCAGCTTTACGGGCAAGAGGGTCCTTGTCTTTAGAGAGATTGTATTCAACTGAGGAAAACATGATTCGTGCCAGGAGCAAGGAAAGGAGTCAAAAATTAAAAAGAAAAACAATTATGAACACCTGAATAACATCCCAACAAGCGCAGTTGACCATAGGGAAGGCTAAGTTCCTTGCTAAGTGCTGGGAGAAACCAGAATGCCCTTGGGCAGTTGGAGTTAACCTAGAAAGGTTTTCGGAGGCGGTGCATTTTGAGTCGGATTGGAAGGCAGCCAGGAGGCCCGGTGTGAGGTTGAAGGGGTGGCCCAGGTGAAAAGGAAGGCAGGTTTCCAGGTGCTTTTTGACCGTGTACCCCAAAGTCTCAGCCACCCAGAGTGACCATGCCTGACCTCTGACCTCCCCGCAGTGAGGACGTGTGCAAACGTGGCTTCACCGTCATCATCGACATGCGGGGCTCCAAGTGGGACCTCATCAAGCCCCTCCTCAAGACGCTGCAGGAAGCCTTTCCAGCTGAGATCCATGTGGCCCTCATCATCAAACCTGACAACTTCTGGCAGAAACAGAAGACCAACTTTGGCAGCTCCAAATTCATCTTCGAGGTGAGCCAGACCTCTGAGCACCACCCTCTCCCTTCCCCTTGTGCTACCCGCGCTTCTCCCTCCTGCTCCTCCGGCCACCCAATGACAGGCAGCATGGTAGGGGCTGATGTTTCAGGGTTCCTCGGTGCTGTGGCCTCCCCAGTCAGTCTCGGAAGGAGGAAGAGGCTCAAGAGGTCCTCTCCAACCTTCAGCCAGTCTGCAGAAACCGCTCCCCCTGGCTGATGTATGGCTCCTGCCCGCAGGTGCATGCTCTCCGTCTCCCCCTTTCCGAGGCTGGCCGTGGTCTTATCCCCCCACCCCACCCCCGGGGCCTCCCCCCTGCCCGCCCGGCGCCAGCGAGGCCCCCTCTCTGTGTCTGCCCCCCTAGACGAGCATGGTGTCCGTGGAGGGCCTCACGAAGCTGGTGGACCCCTCGCAGCTGACCGAGGAGTTCGACGGCTCCCTGGACTACAACCACGAGGCATGGATCGAGCTGCGGCTGTCCCTGGAGGAGTTCTTCAACAGCGCTGTGCACCTGCTGTCCCGCCTCGAGGACCTGCAGGAGATGCTGGCGCGGAAGGAGTTCCCCGTGGACGTGGAAGGCTCGCGGCGGCTCATCGACGAGCACACGCAGCTCAAGAAGAAGGTGCTGAAGGCCCCTGTGGAGGAGCTGGACCGGGAGGGGCAGCGGCTGCTCCAGTGTATCCGCTGCAGCGACGGCTTCTCGGGGCGCAACTGCATCCCGGGCAGCGCCGACTTCCAGAGCCTCGTGCCCAAGATCACCAGCCTCCTGGACAAGCTGCACTCCACCCGGCAGCACCTGCACCAGATGTGGCACGTGCGCAAGCTCAAGCTGGACCAGTGCTTCCAGCTGCGGCTTTTCGAGCAGGACGCCGAGAAGGTAGGAGGGGACACGGCCAGCGGGGAGGGGGGCGCCCAGCTTTTTTAGGGAAACCTGTAGAGGCTGCAAGCTTTAAAATATGTGCCCACTAGGGGCACCTGGGTGGCTCCGACGGTTCAGTGGCCCACTCTTGATTTCAGCTCGGGTTGTGATCTCGGGGTGGTGGGATCCAGCCCCCTGTGGGGCTCTGTGCTCAGTTTGGATGCTGTTTGAGGTTCTCTCTCTCGCTCTGCTCCTCCCCTACCCCACTCCTGCTGGTTGGCTCTACTTAAAAAAAAAAAAAGTGCCTACTGATTTGGGTTGATTTATTTTAATCATATCATAGTTATTGGTCACTGACTTTAAAGCTGTCCTTATGTAGTGTTTACTATTGCCAGGTACTGTTGTAAGCACCACACGTGAATTAGCTCACTGTAATCCTCTCGAGAGTCTTATGAAGTAGGTGGATTATCATTATCCCATTTTACAGATGGAGAAACTGGGAAGGTACAGAACTTGGCCAGTCTGAGAAGTGCCATGTGGCTGCAGAGACCACACTTTTATACGGTTGGACACTGCCCCAGTCAGGATGTGCTACAAAAATACTAATACTCTTACCAGTCACAAGAACAGGACTTGGTGATTATTGTCCTGCAGTCCCCTTTGCTTTCACTTTCACAGGCGGCATCTTATTTAATCTGTGCGGCCCTTTGATCCCTCGAGGTGGGTGGTGGTGTCTCTGCTGACATGCAGGGGAATGGGTTGCTCTTTGATCTTGGGGCTATTATGGCAGATGTGTCCTATGAATCCCGCTTCCTTGCGTTTGAAGTTCAGGGCTCTTCCTTCCATACCACTTCTTTCTAGAGGTTTTTCCTCAGCGGCTGAGTATGTTCTCAAGCAAGACGCCTTTTTTTTTTTTTTTTTTTTTTTTTTTTTGCAGCAGGGAACCTTCAAAGCTTTCCCCTATCAGGGCACATATGAGAAAGTGAAAAAGAAAAATATATGGTGCCTCTTTGCCAAAGACACAAAGTATCTTCTCTAGATTCCCTGCAAAGCTAAAGAAGAGAGTTTACTATCATATGCACTTTAATAAGAGTGAAATGAGTTTTCCTCCTATCAGTTTTCTGGGGAGAACTTATCTATAAATGCACAATCCTACTCTTAGGTATAGTGTGACATCTTGGTAACCGGTGAGTTTTACAGACAGTGTCTGACATACTGATTCTCTGTCTTTTAAGAGCTTGTATTGAAAATGTCTCTAGGTATTTGGAAGTAATGAAATCAGGCTACAAAACTATATATAATTATGACCCCAATTTGTGTGAGAGTGTCAACACGGGTATAAATGGGAAAAAACTCACCATAACTCTACTAGTTTGGATTTCAAGGGGCCAGGCTTATGGTCGATTTTAATTTCTCTCTGTATTTTCTGTGCTTTCTAATCTTTTATGGTTCATAATCAGATGAAAATCAATGTATGTGACTTTTAAAGGATGCATAGATGCTTTCTGTAAAAGATCTTTTGAACATCATGTAAGCCAGTTTGCACATGCAGAGGAGTTTCTTGCACAACCTTGGGGATTGTGAGGTTCCCCTGCAGCTTTTTATGGGCTCCTTGCCCAGTGGCTGGGCATTCTAGGTCCAGCCCTGGCCTGCCCCACGCTGGGGGGTGTGTGGGGGGACTATAGAATCCCTGTCACTGCTCACCAAATGATGAGAGACACCAGGTCAGAAGCCAGGTCAGAAGCCAGCTGCTCTGCGAAGCCAGAGACAGGTACTTTGGCTCCTGTGACCAATATTGGAAAGGTGTGGATGTCTCCTTTTTTTTTTTTTTTTTTTTTTTAATTCATGAGAGAGAGAGAGAGAGGCAGGCTCCATCCATGCAGGGAGCCCGATGCGGGACTCTATCCTAGGACTCCAGGATCATGCACCGGGCTGAAGGCGGCAGCTAAACCGCTGAGCCCCCCAGGGATCCCCCTGGACGTGTCCTTTTTACTTGCAGTCTCTTCTGCTCTGGGACGGGGGATCTGCTTTGCAGTCTGGCCTGGGCACCTGTTTCGGTGAGCCAGAGTTAGAAGGGAGGGCGGGGGGACTCAGGTCTGCCTACAAGTGTTTTGTGTAAGACATTTCACTGCATCCCTGAATTTCAAGGATATGAGAAGCTTTTGTAGGCCACAGATAACACCTGCCTCAAAAACAAAACACCTGGGCAGCCCGGGTGGCTCAGCGGTTTAGCACTGCCTTCAGCCCAGGGCGTGATCCTGGACACCTGGGATCAAGTCCCGCGTCGGGCTCCCTGCATGGGGCCTGTTTCTTTTTTCTTTTTTCTTTTTTTTTTTAAAGAATTTATTCATGAGAGACACACACACACAGAGGGGGTGGGGAAGAGACACAGGCAGGGGAGAAGCAGACCCCATGCAGGGAGCCTGACGTGGGACTCGATCCCGGATCTCCAGGATCTCCAGGATCACGCCCTGGGCTGAAGGTGGTGCTAAACCACTGAGCCACCAGGGCTGCCCCAGGCCTGTTTCTCCCTCTGCCTGTGTCTCTGCCTTTTTCTCTCTCTGTGTCTCTCATGTATAAATAAATAAAATATTAAAAAAAAAAAAACACCTTAGCCTCAGAAATCCCCAGGTAGGGAAGGCTGACCTTCTAGAGTGAGCCAAGTACCAGCCCACCAAGCAGTAACTTCTGCCGCACATATATGTCCTCAATTCATGCTCACAAGATTCTTATGGTATATTATTGGCCCTGCTTCCCAGTCGAGGAAAGCTCAGAACAGATGCTGACAAGAACTGGGAGCTCAGAGAGGTGCGGGGCTCCCCGAGATCGCACTGTGGGTTAGACACAACCAGTATTGGGTCTGTCTCCGAAGCCCACCCACGCTCCGACTCAATACCCTGCTAGCTGGCTGCCCGCAGGCAAACCGCTGACCGCCGCTTCTTGACCCTGCGCGCCCTGCCTGCACCCTGGTGACTCTGGGGACAGTCTCACATCCCACCTTCTGATGCTCACTGGACAGTGAGGGCTCTTAGCCTTTCCGTGCCATGGACCGTGCTCAGAGTAACATTTGTAAAAAAAAAAAAATATATATATATATATATATATATATGTATATATAGTATATATATATATAAAAAATAACATTTGTGAATGTACAAAATAACATCTAGGCTTGGAAGATAATTCTTGAAATGCCGTTATTCCATTTTTAAAAATCACAATAACTTTTATACTTGTTTGGGAGCATGTTAAATCACAAGCTCTGTTTGAAGTCTTCTAACTACCATGAGTTTGATGGAGTGAGGAACCTAAATGACAATTCAGCGCAACAACCTGATGTCATCTGAAAACGTGCGTGCTTCTGTTGGCATCGGAGGCACAGCTATTGCTGACCCTAATGAGGTTTGCTGCCCGCGTTCATAATCGAAAGGAATGCTGTCTTTCATGAGAGGTCAGTGAAAATCAAGCTGTGGCTTTTCCCCCACCCAAGTACACAGTCCCTCGGTTCTATGCAGGACTCTAAGTTTTGGGTCCGTGCCCCGCGGTGGGTTCATAGCATAAAAGAAGTAGGTGTAGTGTGTGGCATGCGTGTGATATGTTTGGTGTGTGTAGAGGAGGAGGGAAGGGAATATAAAAAAAATGAAACAAGGGCAGCAAAGGGGTGATGGGAAGAGGGCAGCCCAGGAATATTTTGATATTGAGTCAGTGACGAACATGTGACTCAGGCTTGACCCAGCTGCCACAGAAAATGTACTGGGTGTAGGGCAGGAGAGAAAAAACAGTCCTTCTATGTCGTTTCCAGATCAATTTAAAATATCTGTGCAGAACCAAGTACCTCAGCCCTTGACTTATTTGGTGTTTCTGAAAGGGGACAAGGAGGGTGGCTGTGTGGGTTGAGGGTTGTGCGGGTGCATCCCCGTTTAAACAAGGGTGTGAGGACATAGTTACGGCATGAGCCACGTCTTAGCCCCCTTTCTTCTGGGAGGCTTGTTGGAGGCCTGCGATTCCAGATCTGGGGAACTCTTAGCAAACTGAGTCGTCACCCAGCTACTATTTTTGTGAAAGGGTGAGTGCAGCGTGTCCCTGATGGCCCTGTAGGGTGACAGCTTGTTTGCCAGGGCTTGAATAATAGGTGCTGCTCCCCATTTACCAGTTGGCCTTAGGGGAGTGAAGCCACCTCTCACCACCTTCCCCTGACCTCTGAGATGATCCTTCCTCATCTTGGGGGAAGGGAGGGGAGGAAGGAGGGGCCATTTTCCCTGCCAATTCAACATTTAGAGAGGAGGGACTCTGTTCCACAGATAATTCACAAGGCAGGCCACCCGTTCATTTAATAAACTGTTGAGCAGCTGTCATGAGCCCAAAACAAGGCACTTGGATAAAGCTGAGTAGGCTGGAGTTTCTGTCCTGGAATAGCAAGCTGTCGCAAGCTCCCAGTTATTATTCCTTATGTCCACCGTGTGCACCCCCTGCCCTAGGCACAGCCTCCCTGATTGGGGGTTTTTAGAGAAGAGGAACGACACATCAGGAACGACAGGAGCGCCTTGATGAGCAATCTGTGGGAGAACTGAGCTACTCAGAGGTGATTCAGGGAGCACACAGTGCATCTTGTTGGAAGATGAGCAGCGCGGCCTTGTGCTGTGCTCTCCAGTCTCTAACTAAGGGGCCTGTCCTCCACTGTGCTCAGGGACCTCAGGCGGGGCGCTCCTCCTTTGCCAGGTGCACTGATGACTCTCTCTGCAGACCTGGCTCACAGCTGCAGGGGCCCCCGGGGGATGGAGGCGTCTACCCTGCAATCACTTCCCCTTGCCAGGCCGAAGGCAGGCCCCTTCCCCTGTAGGGGGTGGTTTGCTGTAGTAAGGTCACTAGGTGCACTGGTTCCTTGTCCTCTTGCTGCTCGGAGGAGGATCCTCGTAGCCCCCCACTCCACCCCACCTTTCCTGGATGCCTAGGGCACGTCTTCCAGGATGTCAGAACTAGAAAAGACCTTGGAATCAGAAAGTGTCTCCCACACCCTG